CCCACGTTTCCCCCCCAAAAAAATTCCTACCAGACCATAAGGGCCTGGTATGACTTTGAGGGGGGACCCCACACACTTTTTGTAACATGGGGTGCCTCCTAAATATTCCTACCAGACTTTAAGGGCCTGGTATGACTTTGAGGGGGAACCCCACACACTTATTTATTTATTTTTTTTACATGGGGTGCCTCCTAACATTCCTACCAGACCTAAAGGGTCTGGTATTGTTTGGGAGGGGGAACCACATGCTTTAAACAAAAACAAAAGTCTTTTTTTTTTCTTTAGAAATGTCAGTTTTTTTTTGTTACTTTTTTTGTTCAATACTTTTTTTTTTTTTTTTACACAGGGTGCCTCCTAAATATTCCTACCAGACCTTGAGGGTCTGGTAGGACTTTTAGGAGGAACCCTACGCTTTTTTTTTAAAATCGTCCTTCCTAACATTTCTACCAGACCTAAATGGTCTGGTATTGTTTGGGAGGGGGAACATTACAGAAGAAGATATGTTAATGACAAATGCAGGAATACTGAGTTAGACTCGTTTTGTGCCCCTATCTGGACTGCCCAGGTCGTGCATGTATTCTGCAGACCTATTTTAGGCCGGGTCGTGTGACCTTATTGTTTATGCTATTAACGGAGAGGGCTGCTCATGCTCTTCCAATAGTGGTGTTACTTATAAATGTGGAGACTCGCCCACTTCAACATGTAGTATATTGGTCTTTAGAGAGTCTTGGGCACAGCTGCCACTCGCCCACTTCTTAGATGTAAGGAGGGAGTTTATATGTGAAGCAAACTGCATTGTGTGTATTGACTACAGTAGGTCAGATCATGACTACATAAGAGCTACATCATGCAGTAAGTAGGCTTCACTTCTTGTCATACAGTATGTCCCAAATATTATGGGTTATCATGTTTTCTTCCAAACAGCACAGTTAAGACAACCATTTATTAAATTATTTATATGTTTAGAAGGACGATTGGGAAATGTTAACACATCTTGCACATTACAGAAGAAGATATGTTAATGACAAATGCAGGAATACTGAGTTAGACTCGTTTTGTGCCCCTATCTGGACTGCCCAGGTCTTGAGCCTTCTGATGCATTGGGGTTTTTCTTTCCTTACATTTTTGGATTGTTCCAAACATTCAAGCTGGAATTTGCTATTGTTTGTTTCATAATACCTCTGATATGTTTGATAATTCTATTGACTTTCCACCTTACATGAGTAGTTTATCTTTATTGTATGTAGGTATGTGACTACTTCCATGAAAGTTTGTTTTTTTGAAAAATCAATAAACAGAGACCTCCGGTTCCGGCGCCTGCAGAGCAAGACGCGTATGTGAGGAGCTCCGGGCTTTCGGGACAATTACATCAGCATTTTATATCGGCCAGAGCTGCCGTCGAGCGGTTACACAAGACCCAACCAGCCTTCACACCCGGTCTCTGTCCATGGACAGATTCGTCGACAGGTCCCGCGCTCCGCTGAGATCAGAATCCCGAGCCGGGAAAACGAGCGCGCGCAATCTGGCGGAAGCCATGGAGGCCTCCCAACTGGCCTCACAAACGGACCTGGATGCCGAATCTATATCGGACCCTGAACCATCAGTCGACTCTGCGAAGATAGTCGCAGCGGTAGCCAGGTTATTGAAGCCTACCATACAGGCCTCGGTACAGGCCGCGGTCGTCTCGGCTGTCACTAAGGGCATTCAGTCGCTCCGTCTTGAGCTCCTGGCACAAGCTCACCGCGTCACGGAGGTGGAAAACAGAGTTTCCCTCTTGGAAGACGAGCTGGCATCCACCAACGCTCGCCTACAGACCATTACCAAACATCATCAAACGGTCACTGCCAAGTTGGAGGATCTGGAGAACCGATCTAGGAGGAACAACTTACGTATAGTAGGTCTGCCTGAGTCCTACCTACCAGCCGACTTATCAAATCTCTGCTCACATCTTCTACCAGAAGCACTGGGACTTACCCGTGCCTGCACTGTGGAAAGGGCACATCGCTTGGGGTCGCAGCAGCAGAAATACTCACGCCCACGTCCCGTAATAGTAAAATACCTGTCATATGTGGATAAAGTAGACATCCTCAAGGCTTATCGCAATGGATCGAACTTTCGTTTTGACGGCCACAACATCCTTCTCTTTGCTGACTATTCAGCTGAAGTAAGCCGCAAGCGGAAGGCTTTCTCCAAGATCTGCAAGATGCTATACCAAAGGAAACTGCGTTTCTCCCTGATTTAACCGGCGACTCTGAGTATCCAATCAGGGGACGGGACTCGTCACACTTTTACATCTCCTCAAGATGCCCTACAGTTTCTTGAACCAGCTGAAGTGGCGGGCTCTGATCAACGTTCCCACTCTGGAAGCAAGCGACAACGAAGATCCTCCCCACCTCCAAACTCCACACTGGGAGAGCCCACCTGAATCCACCCGAGCCCGCCGGGAGAAATGATGATCTGAAGCAGGATCCCCGACCCTGAAGGAGGCGGCTTGTCTCTGTGGCTCTTGGCCTGCGATGCAACGTGTTAGAGGGTGCACCACCTCTTGTTTATTTTTTGTGGTTTTCTTCTCATCTTCCTCGTCGTTTTGAAGCGGAAGTTTTTGCCCGCTGTTGGGTACCCCTAGTGTTGGCTTGTGTATCACCTACATTACTTCACCATACGGATGGAACGGACGGAGGACTTCACCTCATCTCATCACGTAACTATGTTTAACAGTTCTCACCTATATATCCCCACCGTCGACACTTTTTCTAAGACGGCATAACTCTGGCCTAAGATGGACCCCCTTACCTAAAGTCCCGTTTTCCTTTTCACTAGTGTTTTTGATCCGATTCGCACTGTGGTAAAAAAGGGAGTGATATGACTTGTTTTTTTTTTCTTCTCTTCTCAGACTCTTTACTCCATGGGGCTGACTCACCCTGCTCCGGGTTTACTGGTCCAGGGTGAATCGCCTGTGGGAGAAAGACTTTCTATGCTATGTTATTTTTTCTGTTCCATTTTGTTAACTGTGTTGATTTTTTTCATCAAAATGATGAGCTTCCCTAAACTGCTATACCCCCTACAAACTATTCCGCTGTTGCTCAAACACAAGGATGTTAGAACATTAGAACGAGCGTTCACCAGGTTCTTATGGAAAGCTAAGCGCCCACGCATTTCCTACCACCAACTACAAGTTCATAAAATGGAAGGAGGATTGGGGCTACCTAATATCCGAGCCTATAATTTGGCGTGTCTCCTGCGACATGCCTATGACTGGCTACTAGATACGTCATGCTATTCCAACCATAGCTTGGAAGCCGAACTAGTGTCCCCATGGTCGTTGGTGGGCCTACTCCATACTCGTATAAATAAACTACCACCCTCTCTACGTACTAACTCGCTCATTAGGGATACAGTGGTGGCATGGAGGGAGTTTAGATTGAAGGCAGGGCTGCACCTGTATATGTCACAACATGTTCCCATACGACATAACCCACACTTCCCGCAGGGCTCGCACAGTAAGATTTTTGACACCTGGGCAGCCAAGGGTATCCATAAACTGATTCAACTATTTGACCCGGAAACATCTAGACCTCTCTCATTTTCAGAACTACAAAAGAAATTCGACCAACCACCCCAACACTTCTTCCAACATATCCAATTAACCCATTTCTGGCGCAGCGAGACCACTATACCCAGCACTCTGGTTCAAACCACAGAAATCGATAGGGCTTCGTCCTCCCCCCCCTGGATTGATCTCTAAAATATATCCCATTATCAATTCTTACTTTAACCCCAAACCAGCGAGAACTTCCCTGGTGAAATGGAGAAGGGACTTCCCACTGGAGGACTTTGAGAGTGCCGTGCTGGAGGGATGTCAGAACATTAGGAGGTGCACACCCAATGAGCAGTGGAGAGAGACTCATTTCAGGATCATACATAAGGCTTATTATGCCTTTGATTTTTTTCACAAAATAAGGGCTCCAAGCCCATACTTAACAGCGTGCCCCAAATGCACCCTGGAGGGGGCCTCTCTCCGACACTGTCTCTGGGACTGTCCACACATTGTCGCCTTCTGGGATTCGGTACTCTCCTATTTAGCGGTCATTCTGAATATTCCCTTGCTCCGGGAACCTTGGCTGTGTTTATTCAGTTATTGGAAATCATCTACGGTACCTGGTAGACATACGCAGCACTGGGTGTATGTGGCTCTGTTACTGGCAAAACGTATAATTATGCATCAATGGCTCTCCACGCAGCCTCCATCGCCCCAACTTTTTGTGAAGGCATTGATGTCTTTGATGTGGAAGGAGAGACTTGAGGCAACCCTCGACCCGGACAAACACTCTGATGGGTTCTTTAGGAAGTGGGAACCTTTTATATTACACAATTATTCCGGGGCCGAGCTACATGCTCTCATGTATCCCTTCAAACTGACTAAATGGTACCTAGAGAGGAGGCTGGAGAACTCCCTGGGGCAGTTAGAACTCCCGGAGAACTATGATCCGGGCTAGGTGAGGTAGCCATTAAGATATGTCGTACCTACGACAGTCTGCAGCTGCTTGGATACATGACGAACACAGCTGAAACACTCTTTGGAAAGGGTTTCATGCAATCTGCAAATCTCTATGTCTCTTTTTGATTAATTTTCTTTGGTCTACATGTGACATGAGTGTATGTTATTTTGTATATTATTTTGTTTGGATATGATGTACTGCTATTACATTATTATTCTATGTTTGAAATATGATGTTCTATGGAATTTCAATAAAAAGATGTTTAAAAAAAAAAAATCAATAAACATTTATTGAACAAAAAAATACAAGAACAGTACATGATTATGCTCCTATGAAATTGTAGATTACCCATTGGTATGTTGATTCAGCTCCTATGTCAACAGTATAAAGGGTTATAACAGCCTATTTGCATTATCCAACAGTAGTAAAGAGGGGCAAGAAATAGGCATGTGCAATCTGAAGATTTTACACTGAAGAGAAGCGCTGCAATACCAAGCACCAATGGCTTTAAGCAGCATATTCAATATCTTTGTGTTCCTTCACCTATTCCCAGTCATTCACAGTTCTTTTATAAGACTTAATAATGGAGGTTATGATGACATTACAATTGCAATTCACCCTGGACTACAGGAAGATACTGAGATCATTGAGAGAATTAAGGTAAGTCCAGCAGCTCAACATGACATGCACATTAATAAATACTGAAAATATTTACATGTAGCATACTTGTAATTCTTATTCTGAATTTATGATGTTTTTTTAAAGTCTTGCAATCATAAGAAATATATCATATTTATACATAGAAAACAACAAATCACAAACTAGCTACGACTAGAGAGATTTTTGCTTTAGGACACTCAAAACATGGAATTGAGGTACAGTTATTGACAAAGTTGCTCTCATGGCATCTGACACACCAACTCAGTTTTTACACTTTGATTTCAGATCCAGTAATAAAAAGAATCCGGTTTTAATTTCTTAAAAAATATCCAGAGTTCCATTCCCTTAACTGCATCATTTGTTACCCCCCACAGTTACGAACCCCCGGTCTATCGGGTTACTACATACCTTACAGTATGCAAGGTTGACTTATTTTATGCCCTTCACCCATACCAAAATGATGCAATGATTGAAAAAAACCAAACATATAGGGATGTTATTAAATATACTTGCCTTTGTTTTTCCCAGGCAGCCCATGATGCCTCGGGAAAAGTGACTACAAGGACTACATAATAAGCAACTGTAACTTACTATTGTAGCCTTTTACTATGGATTTTAAAGACCAGTGGTGTGACACTATCATTACTTAGTCACCTTAGGTTTTTATTGTTGACTGTGTCCCCACTGGGAAGATTCATCCTCTCTGTTTGTCCTTACGATTATTGTCATTGAGGCAAAAAGTGATGGGAATGCGATTATCACCAGAATAAGAGGTGAGGGGAAATCTTTCAATGGGGGCATCTGTTCTGGTGACAATTGTCATTTTGTAAAGATTTTCCTACACTTTATGTTGTGTCTCTGGGCCATAAATAAAATTAAAATCTGCCCAGTGAGAAACAGACAGTAGACAATTAACCATTCCCTACCCAATCCAAAGCTTAAAGAGGTGTATACACCCATAAGGACAATCCAACATCTCCACCACTGCAGCATGGAAAATTGTTAGATGTTACTCGATGGACTTGTGTCATTTTTCAACCTGAATAACTATGTAACATATATACATATATTTTATGTAAACATTTTTTCTGTTTCCATAAATCTTGATGCAGGCAAAGACAGTGTGTTGCCTCTTGTACTTTTGGGGCATGCATCATTTCTATGGTCTGCTTTGGCTATTGATATGCCCAGGTTTGTTTTAAAATTGCTGATTTGCAGCAAAGCCATTTCGTAATAAAATATTAAACTTGCACACATATAACAAAATAAACAAATGCAATACATGAAATAAAATGTAAATGTTCACAAAAGCCAGTATCTTTGGCTAAAGACTGAGGCTGGGATTGGCGGAAATATATCTAGTATTGATGTCCTTTGTATCTGACATGCCACAATAAAAGGTTAAATATTGGATCAAATTTAGATGTTGGGAATTGTAGTATTTGCGCTTATAGAGAAGCTGCCGCCATCCCCCGTTGTGTTGTGGTTCAATCCTGATACTGCACTAGCCTGCTGAGCTAATTACTGTCTTCCTAAATTAGAATAAAAAATCTAATTATTTCCCTTGAAATGTTTAAAAACCTTTGGCGACCTTTATTTATTTTAATAATAAAATACAGGTTTTTTATGCTAATTATAGTTTTTTTATTTTCAGGAAATGGTTATAGATGCATCAAGCTATTTATTCAATGCTACAGAGAACAGGCTTTATATAAACAGTGTGAACATTTTAGTACCATCAACGTGGACTTCAAAAAATGATTACGTTAAGCGACAAAGAGAAACATATAAAAAGGTAATCATAGAATGTTTACCGTAAGTTTTTTTTTATATGTGAAAGAATTGCAAGCATTAGACATAAGTGAAATTGAGAGTTTTTATTTTTCCCAAAATTTTGCTATTTTGGCTAAATGTATTTAGAGTCAATTAAGAAGACAACATTAAAGCATCCCAAAAACATACATTTAATGGGTTACAGTTTACTAGTCCTTAGATGTGATGGATGCAGTAGTTACTAAGGCTGAGAAGTACAGAAAATACCTGATTATCCTACCAGAAATTCAAAGTATTTGTCAATTCCTGTGAGCTGAACTTAAAGCGCAAATATTCTTAGTTTTCTAAGTGGGTGGCACATACTTTGCTATGTAAAACTACTTAACTCCAATGCTGGGGGTATTTTCTGGGGGACTGGGGGATATTGTGCTGGGCTGGGGCTTATTGTGCTGTACTTGGGTTTATTATGCTGGATGTTCTTTTGCTGGTGTCATTGTGTTAGGGGTTAGCATTGCTTGCCCTGACACATGCTGGGGGTTGTCACTGCTGGCCTTAACACTTACTGGGGGTTACTGGGAATTATTGCTTGCCCGGACACTTACTGGGCACTATTGCTGGGGTTTAATATTTTGGCCCTGACACTTTCTGGGGGTTCACATTGCTGGCCTAGACACTTGCTGGGGATTTTTATTGCTGCCTCTGATATTTACTGGAAGTTATTGTCGGGGGTTGTCATTACTGGCCAGGACACTTGCTGGGGGTTGTCATTGCTGGCTCTAGAGCAATTAATGTCAAAGCACAATAAGTTTGTATGTTTTCTTTGGCTTCTTTCTTTCCCTATCTTTTCTAAGCTTTATCTTTTTGTACATTGCTTGCTCTTTATCATTTCATATGTTGGTTTGGTTTATTGTATGGATTGGCTCCCTTACCCTGCAAGGCTTACAGTTACCTTTGGTCATATTGTTTTGCTAGGGTTCTCAATACTCCTCAAATAGTGTTTCCACCATGGGAAAATAGGAGGTAGGGTGTTTTGGCCTGGGTTTACAGGGTGGGGAGGGTGAGTCGAGCGCTATGTGCAAATGGAGATTGATATTGATATTTATATATCATTAGTATTTTGTATGTGCTACTTCTTTTGTTTCTTGCTGTTTCATCCTTTATATATGGTTACAAAATTTGAAAATAAAAAATATAAAAAAGGCACTGGATATCTGGTAGAATCAGCGTGTATTTTCTGTACTTGTGGAAAATATTCTTAGCCCGAAAAAGGGAAATGAATGCAGCCACCACATCTAAGGACTGGTAAACTGCAATATATTACATTTTTGTTTTTAAGTTTAGATACACTTCAAGGCAACATTTGGTAGTACAATACAAATTATTTGGATGCTTAGATACATATCATTTGTTTCTGAAAATACCAATAAATTCAGCAAATGTTTTAATTAGTTCCAAGCAATTAATGCAAAAAGCAACCTGCAGCTGCACAACAGACACTTTTGAGTGTCACTCCTTACCTTTAGATTGACTGCCTATCTCCTGTATGTGCCAATTTAAGCCAAAAAAAGATCATATGCAGATATGATTAGTAGATGGTTCTGAGTGCACTACTTCACCCCTCTACCTCCAAATGAAAGGAGCTAGCCATAAGTAAATCAAGCTCTAAGCACTGCATTGTTAGATGGGGAGGGGATATGAACCTGAACCCTACATCCAAACATTAAGAATGCACAATGCATTGAATCGAGTGGCAGACACACTAAACTTAAAGCAAACCAGTTCTTTGCCCATCAGGTACCTTATGATGCTACATCTTAAGATGTTTTGTTTGTTTGTTTGAAGACACCACTATTTTGGTGAAATTAAATCTTTAAAATAAATTTGATGTACAAATATTAATTAGCACTAACTCACTACTATTACCTAAAGCTCTCTTTCTCAACCTGGGCTGCATTCCGGCTTTGTCAATGGTGCATCCACGTTTTTGCTAATGTAGGGGAATCTGATGTAAAGGGGGCTCCTGATGTGAAGGAGGGGCTTCTGTTGTGAAAGGGAAGGGACTGTGAATAGGGGATACTTACTGTATGTGAGGGAGGGGTCTACTGATGTGAAAGAAGAGGGACTCTGAGGAAAAGGGGGCTCCTGATGTAAAGAGGGGGCTACTGATGTGAAGGGGCTCATTTTTTGCGTGCCACTTCCCCCTTGAAATCAATACTAGACCCCTGTTTGAGATAAGGGTTTTGATACGTTTACATTTTTTTACATTTTAGACTGGAGTGCCTCCAGCTTTTACACACTTGTAAAAGGTGCCATGACTGAAAAAAGTTAAGAAACGCTGACCTAAAGACCTCAAATTTATCAAATACTGATATATTCTGCCAAAAATGGATTTAAGATCACTTTGGCATAATTATGTCTCAAAGCTTGAAATATAAAAATTTATTATTTTATACAATTGCTTTATATGCATCATTATGTACAATGTTTTTTGTTTTTTTAAAACTATGCATAAACTAAACTTTGTGAAACAAAAGGAAATACATAAATAATTGCTTAAAAGAAACTGAAAGTAATGTCTGAGCAAAATAATTATGATGATTTGGTGTAAAATCCATAAAGTAAAATAAAAAGTGAAAAGGTAAATGAGATTTTTATATGAAGGAATATAATAACAATCTAGTTGGCGGTTCTTGCTGCACACAGGTCACACTGACACAAAGCCCTAATCCAGCACAAATTCAGGCTACAAAGTACAGCTCTTCCTACAGCTGATTCCATTACATATTGTTCCTCAAGTCCCAGAGAAGGGGGTGTCCAGTTCCCCCAAAACACAGTGGCTGTATCTGTAATTTCGAAAAATTAGATACAAAACACCACTAAAGGTACAGAACTGAATAGTTCCTAGATATGGTTGGTAACTTATATGCATATATCAAAAAAAGGTACCACCTCAAGAGAAAAGGTGGATAAAGAAGTTACAAATGAACTAGTGTCATATAATTTAGAGCCAAATGGCTTGCTTTATTCAATTTAACAAAAAAGAAAATACATCAAGAAAAATTGCATGTACGGCATCCCAAAACGCAAACCTCTATTACAAATTGGCAACGTTGTCAATCAAAACACACAATAAAAACAATTGAAACATCCCCATGACTATTCCTCATATACGCATTATTAACAGCCGATGGCCATCATTGCTGATTACTGCATAGCTTAAACTAGATCTGTTTGTGTATGTAGAATTTGGCCCATTAAATAGAAATCATACAGGCAAATCCCCATGGGTTGAGGTGAATTTTCTGATATAGATACAAATATGTTTGTGTCTGGGACGGAAAATCCCTCATTCAAGATGCAATTTAACGGTACTTGACAGTCATGCAAGGGACATATTCAAACTTCTGAAAAAGATCTTATATACAGGTGAAACTCGAATAATTAGAATATCGTGCAAAAGTAATTGCAGTATCTTATTGTATCCAAAAAGAGTAATGTAGCCCACAGTCAAAGATTCACTGGAATTTTTGTTACATCCGGCAGCTGTAACATTGTTATGTGAGTAGAGGAAGTTCGGTGTCAATAGATCAAACTGAACTACAGCTTTTTCAGAGATCAAAGAAGACAAATTTACCATGGGTCACCGATGCATGTGACTAAAGGCACCAAAAAACAGATAGTATCTTACTGTTTCTCTTGCCAGGCTTAGCGCAGCACCACCATGTGTCCGTGGATAGTTGTAGATACCGATCTCATGTGATATTCATAGTCTGAGTTGCTATAGCAGTGGTTTTCGTCTAGATAGCAGTGCTCTTCCGGGTGCAACGGGAGGAGAAACACATTGATCTCTGTGCCAATAAGTGCTTAGTCATTTAACATGAAGACTACCATCAGTCAGGAGTAACAAGATGGCACAACATTCAGCATTTTGATCTCTCTTTGTTGAGGGTCATGAATAAGGGATGTTCGCGGACCCGTTTACGCGTTACGCCCCACCTCCTTCGGGGCTTTGTTAGAATGTAAGGAAGGGAGGAGGTTGCACTTCTTTTCAGTGGTGTTCGTTAAATGTAATAAAGCAAGCCAATTGGCTCTAAATTATATGACACTAGTTGATTTGTAACTTCTTTACCCACCTTTTCTCTTGAGGTGGTACCTTTTTTTTATGCATCTGTCATTTCCTTTCACAACTCAAACAAACCTTCAAGCAAGATGATCTTTTTTAATAGACATTTCTAACCACACATCCAGGTCTCGATAAAATTGTGTCCCTGTCATTGCAATTCATTTTGCTTGTTTGATTTGGTGCAGGGGCACACTGGGGGTCTCAGCTGCCATTGTGATGTGGGTCCCTGGTGTGTCCCTGTGCCTTAAAGGAGGTTGGGCTGTTTCCTGGTGAACCTGCACCCAATTCGCCCTTAGCTACTTGTGCTTCAAGATGGAGACTCTCATAGGTTAGAGTTAGGACTGCACTATACAGAGGGGCCTTGACGAGGCAGTGCAGTTTCACATATTCTGCAGAAGACGTGTATCTAAAACTTCTGTTTTTAACCTTAGCAGTTAGACAGGTTTTTTTGCAGGCTAGCTGGTGAGTGTGCTGGGAAACTTTTTGCTGTTGTACAGTTTAAAGCCCTTCCATGTGCACCTTGCTTTAAAGCTGGTTATGAATTGATGAGGGCGTTTGACATTCGTTTTGCCTGTCTTTGCAAGAGGTGCTGAACTGTTTAAAAAAAAGTTGAATAGTGGGGACTCTTTGTTAGCATTGATTGAATCGGGGGAATTTTAAATAAATCACTTCCTAATTCATATAAATATGTGGATGTACAGTAGATTTATCTGGACTGCAGAGAATATGAGTCATTTAAGTATCTATGTAGACTGAACAAATCTGCACGTATTGTATATAATCAGGAGAATCCAAAAATTAGCAATTTGTGCAATGCACACATTTCTCTGTTTTTCAAATGCATTCACTTATCACTAATTCTTTTCATGAACATGTCTTCCAGTCTTAAATGTTTTTCCAATTGTTCCACTAACCATTTATTTGTTTTCATGCTAAGCAATGTTATTTTATTACCCTTGCTAATTTAAGTGGCTTTCAAGTGTGACTAGCATGCGCATTGTCGCTGATACTGTTTCTGACTTTTTAAAACGGTAATAACATTGAACTTAATTCATTTTGCTTAATCAGGCTGATGTGATAATTGAAAATCCTTTCCCAAAATATGGAGATGACCCATATACTCTTCAGTACAGAGGATGTGGTGCACCAGGAGAATACATCCATTTAACTCCTAACTTCATGCTGAATGACAGTCTTGCTTCAGTATATGGATCTGCAGGTAATGTTTCTAAATTAATATGTACATTTAAAAAAAATACTTTTTATGTAACATAATGGATCCACAATAATAAATGTTTATATCAAAATAGTCATATAATTTACATTTCTTTCATAAGAAAAGTGTTTTGGGAACACATTTAGCCATTAAGAAAACATAAATAAGGGACCAATAGCCAACACTATGTTCCCAATATTCAAACTTTAAAGTGACACTAAACTCAGGAGTTAAATCTTAAAAATACGTTCATGTACCTTAACTATTAACAAACATCTATCTTATATGTGTATCATTCAGCTGTAGATCCTGAAATCATCTCTGAATTCATGCTGACACTTTTCTTCCTTCGGGAGGGTGGCAACTTTTGTTCCCCATGGTCCCTATGTGTGTTGTAATATAGCCACCGCTCCAAGCATCTGTATTGAGATTTCTAAGTGTGGTGTGTGCAGTGTGGGTTTTTGATTTATTGCATGCTAAATAAATAACATCCAGATAAAAGAGCCATGCGTATTCCTACATAAATCTTGCTATTTTTGTATTTCTTCCACATCTGTGCTGTAATCCAGCATGAAACAACTCATGTACTTTGTATGTGCAGGAGTTTCCTGTAACAAGACCAGTTTCTGCTGATCTCTCCCCATTTGTAGGGTGACTGGTCTTGTATCCGCCACCTCCATACTTTACTGCAGGCAGCCTGTAATGGGTGGACCTGCTAGGTCCCTCCCACAGCTATGCTCTCTGTACAGGCTATGTGCAATGAAGATATGAAGTCACGGCTATTCGTATAAGGTAATAACTTTTTTCTTGGTGCACACCAAGTGAATTTATATGTTTTGTGGCCTAGAATATAAAAATGAATTTGAACACCTAAATTGAAATGTTACAGTAACGTTACAAAAGCTTTGTTTCTGCTTTCTTATTTCTAGGTTTTCTAAGCTTTTGGTATTGCATGCAGAGGTGATATTCTAAATGCAGCAAGCCCACAGCAATACATTATATATCAGAATGCCATAGAATGTTAAATACATGATTGATTCCTGTTGATTAATGCATTTTCTTGCAGTGCCTCATTGAATATGTCTGGTAAACATTGTTAGTGTTGTCAAGGCTTTACCCAGTATATTTATTGTGTATTCTTGTTTATTCAGGAAGAGTATTTGTTCATGAATGGGCACATCTTCGGTGGGGTGTTTTTGATGAGTACAGTACAGAAAAACCATACTACATTTCCAGCGAACTTAAAATAGAAGCCACTAGGTAATCTGAAATACTATGTTACTATATGGGATAATAAAAGTTATTTAAAATATAGTTATGTCACCACCTAATATTATTATTTGGGAGTTGGATAAAAAGTTATGAGGTTGCTAGTGTGTAAAATTATACATCATACATCTGTATATGCCATTGTAAGGAACAGTTGTGTGAATCTTCTTTAGTGAGTCCCACCTTCTCCCTTGTACTGCTTCATATCTGCACATTGGTAGCATCTCAACTGATGTCTAAGCAGCCAGTCGATCCAGCTCTGAAGAACAGTAACATGAGGAACTGGGAGAAGTCTATCCAATCAGTGCAGCAACAGGTTTTCTTTAATCATCCCCATTTTTGTCCAGTGTAAACTCACCTTTGCCTCACTCCACGCCATTCTGTTCAGAGCTAGGAGCCAAGAAAATACCTTGTACATCCATGGATAGAGACACATGTGACCCACATTATGTGACAGTGCACTATCACTTAAAGAGTAGATAGCCCTTTAAAGCTATGATTTTGGCGACTCAAAGCTTACTTTTCTCTTGATGACTGAATGGAGTGGCAAGGTAGCAAGAGGAAAATTAGGTAATGCATTTGTGGGGGTCTATATTAAAGTGACTGTACAATCAAACTCAAACTTTAAATAACAGATGACCCTGAAAAGAGGACTGCATGTCTGCTCCATTGAAGAGAAAATGCTGGCTAAAGTTTCAACAGAGATCAACACTTCCAGGATTCTCATTCTCCTGGCCCCCCCAAACACTCAGTAGCACCTACCAACACCCGCTATGTCACAAAGAGGTCAGTGGGAGGAACCACTGAGTGCAGTTAGGGTCCAGGAGATTGACACTTTCAGACGTGTAATTTTTTTTAAAGAAGATTCAACTAAAATGGTCTCTTTCTTCTTTACAGGGACACTTTTATTGGGACATTCAGTTTGACTTGTCACTTTAAAGTGAATTTGAGCTTCGTCTTGCATAGGCAAAGCACAGGTTTACTTTAAAATCTGATGTATTTATCAGTCCTTGCATCACATGAATTGATATTTTGCTATATTTAGGGCCATTTCACACTACATGCATTGGGGCTGTGTTGGCCATGTTTCCAGAGCAGCCCAGATGCAAGACAAGGCAATTTGCCTTGTCACAGACAGGCTCAGTTCACACTACTGCATTGCAAAACATTTTTTACGGCATGCTGTACTTTTTTTCAGTGCAGCGGGATGTGATGCTATACAACCACCTTGCACCCCGCTATGCCCGTAAAACTGAATGAAATGTCACTTGTGTCACTTGTGTTCTACCCAAAAAAAGTACGCAGTGCACACGGAATGGCGCATTGGCACTGTGTAGCGCAACTCACACCAGCCACTGTGCATTTAACATAGTGGCTGGTATGAATTGACTCTTACACTAAAGCTTTATACAGTCATACACTGCTTGTAGAGTGTGTAGAGATTTGTGTAGGGATAAAAGTGTAAAAAGCTCTAAATTCTAAAGGGAAATTAACTGTTCTGAACTGTTATGCTTTAGTGTCAGAAATATTATTTTACTTAAAAAATTAGGAAGTATTTAAAATGATGAATGCATATTTATCATTGGTCATTAGTGCAGCGCTATAAGTCTCACGGTGTATTTAGACAGAAACCAGTGTATATGATAAAGACAATAAATCCGCAAAATCATACAAACATGAATAAATATGTATATAAAATAAATCAAATGAAATCATATAAGATGTGTTGCTGTCTTCTTTATACAATGTGTCAATAGTGATGGATATATATGTGAGCACGGAAAAAAATGATGTATTGTGTATAATATATGAACGATGTGAAATACAAAGTATAACAAAAGTTGATATAAAAAGAGCAAAAAAATGTCCAATGATGTCCTAGTCCTGGAGATACATCATTTAACTGATGGAGAACTCGAGGGATGTATCTCAGTGGGAGGTGCCGAGGTGAGTTGTTTAAAAAAAGAAAAGGAGACCCCCGTAGGGAATGCACTCACCAGATACTGGAGAAACAAAAGCCGACTTTTTTCCGGGGAAGGAGAAGGAGGTCAATATTCCATCTGTCTTTACCGATAAGATGTTGTGGTCTTTTCCCAGTCCTGATGTTTCAGCAAAGGAACCATTACTTTAGCCGTGAACAGGTTTCATGTACGGCTTTCAGGGGTTATCACGGTTCTTGGTCTCAGAATGTATTTTATATACATATTTATGCATGTTTGTATGATTTTGCGGATTTATTGTCTTTTCCATATACACTGGTTTCTGTCTAAATACACCGTGAGACTTATAGCGCTGCACTACTGACCAATGATAAATATGCATTCATCATTTTAAATACTTCCTAATTTTTTAAGTAAAATAATATTTCTGACACTAAAGCATAACAGTTCAGAACAGTTAATTTCCCTTTAGAATTTAGAGCTTTTTACACTTTTATCCCTACACAAATCTCTACACACTCTACAAGCCTGAGTTTCAGCAGCTTGCAGTTAATCCGGTTTTTCTTCTTTTACCTCTTTTTTCCAATAGCGCAGATCATCTGTATCTTCATATTTATCATTAACAGGTGTTCTGAGACTTTTAAGGGCTCAAATTTAATTAACAAATGTGAAGGAGACACATGTACACTACGCTCATGCAACATTGACTCTAAAACAGGCTTGTATGAAGAAGGGTGTCTCTTTTTACCTGAAAAAGACCAGAACGTGCAGCAATCCATTATGTATCTTCAATCACTTTCCTCAGTGAGTATATTCCCATAAAAGTCTTATAAAAGTAATCTCATAAAAGTTGATTTGTTTTTGTTCACTTGGATAACGTAATCACTCTGTTGCTATATACGTGTGCTTCAAACTTTTGTTTTTTTAATTACACTAGTTACCAAGGACAACATTTTGTGACTCACCCGGGTATTTTAATATGTTACCTCTGCATGGTTCACCCCACCTAGATCACTGTTGAATCATTATGAATCAGTATTTATGACCCAGTGACCTTTAACTAGTAGTTGCTGTAGATGTCTGGACTGGCAGTCTAAAATTGTGCTCTAGCTCAATACAATGTTGCACAGTTTCAGAATATGAGTTGTGAGCTGGCCATCGGTAGCTGGTACATAAGCCCCCTGGGAATAAGCAGTCTCGGGCACAGATACCAAATCCAAGTGAGTATTGAAGTAGTGCAGTGTTTATTGGTGATATTTACAAGAGTATTCACAGGTGCTGTACAGTGGTTCACAAGAAACTAACAAAAATAAAACTTAGCCGTATCCCGGCACTAACTTCATAGACAAAAAATATAGGTCTTAACTAGGGTTGCACAGATACCAAATACAGTACTGGTACAAGTACGAGTACATGTACCGATACTTTTGAGCTCCAAGACTAGACTAGAGAAAAATTAGGAGGCAGCTGTCATTTGTAAGGAGCACACGGAGCTCCTGGGATTTGTACATCTCTGTTTTAATGTACGATTTTGTTTTTATAAATATAAATAAAGGGATGCACAGATACCAAATTTGCGAGTACGAGTACTGGTACTTGCCGAGTACTTACAAGTACGAGTACTGATAAATGTATGTTTATTGTCATGTGACAGTTTTTCTAAAACAATACAGGCTAATGATTTCAGGACAGTGGTGGAGTGCCAGAGCTAGGTCCCAGCTGCAACCGCTGCAACCCTGGTAGTTCTCCTGAAAATGCCAAGTATCTGCACTGGTACTCAAAAAGTATCTGTGCATCCCTAGTCTTAACTAACTGGCTGAGCAGGCCTACCGCTGGTCAGTCTCCACATACACCGTTTGCTAGTTTTCACCAACCTTGCAGCTCTCTCATACAGGACTTGTCTGATCCCCAGGCCGAGAGCTCTGACTACAGGTTCTAGGTGAGATTAAATTGCGGGTGGAGAGAGGAGTAAACTCTGCACTGGAGCCCGGACCAGGAATCCCTAAATGTATGGTAGGAGAGGAACCTGGAAGACCTATAAACTCCGAACAGGACTTTCCCAGGCTCCCTCTGGGACGCTCTGCTACAGAGTATAAAGAGAATCTTGAAGTAATAATATTTACTGTGGTTTTTTTTTTTTTTTTATACCTATAAAATATTTATGAAACTGAAATAATGTATTTAAGCAAACATTAAGACAGATATGAAAGATCACAATTTAGTTGTGCATTGTACATAATTAAATGTATTTTGTAAATGTTATTTTTTTTAAATGTATACGTACCTCAGCTTTTCTTTATATTAGGGATCTATTCATCAATGTTTTCATTCAAGACTTAAACAACTTTTACCCAAGATTCACCCACATTTCTTATGGGACTCAATTGGACAATAGGTAAATATTTGGGTGAAAACACTGATTAATAGACCCCTTAGTGTTTACTAACCTAATGAACAGTGAGATTTAAACTAGGAGATAAAAGACGAGCACTGTGAATCAGCCATCTCTACGACTGTGCACATGGCTGCCTGATTATGATGCTAACAAGCTCATTGACAGGAAGAAAGTGCAGATTGATGACCTTGTCAATATATTATTGCTTCTCCTCCAGTTAGAATGCTGGCGGCACAGCAGAGACCAAGCTATGTTGCTTCAAGTGTATTTCCACTTTCGCAGCCAAATTGGGATAACACCTATTTTATATTTGTTACATGTTCCCATTCACATAGCAGCATAAGCTAAAAACAAAAAAAAAAGCTTCTTGCAGTTTAAATTGCTTTTACTTGGGTCAGGGGTTTAAGGGTTAAAATTTCTTCCTGCTTCTATTTCTTTTAAATATTAGGAGGGGCTGTGATGTGCGAGGGGTCTTCACCATTCAGTGGTGGCTTGTCCATTGTTTGTTAATGAAGCTTATCAGATAAAACACAATCCTTAAATTTCTGTCCCAAAACCTTCCATTGGGACAGACCACTATGAAAGGGCTAAGAAAAACCTGGAATGAGCCATCTTGCCTGATTTATCTAAACATCTAAAAGGAAAGTTATTTTTCAGTATGTGGTGTGAATATGCGAACATATGGAGGGGTTTTCCTAAATTTGACTGCAAAAGTGGAAACACAGTTTAACTGGTGGAGAAAAGTACGGTAACCAACTTATCTAGGGGTAGCTGGATCACAAAATTAGAAGTAATTTTTTTTGACAGATAAAGTCAACTGCATGTTGGAAGATAAACCAAATATTATTATCGCTGAATTTTGATGCATTACAGTGTAAGCCAAATAAAAGACCAGGAGAATCGACATGATTCTGAAAGGCAAACTCACTTAGATCAGGGTCACAGGGCTTATATTACAAACATACCTCCAATTCCATGCTGGAGAAAGTAGAAAACTAAGTGAATATCAGTTGACCTGAACGTTTTAATGTTCAGCCCAGTGTTTTCGGAACAACATCACTAGATTCCAGGCATAGTTAATAATGTTTAACAGGGACAACCACATGTGGAGATCAGGCAGCAAATGCAAAAGGCATCAGACAATATACACAAAGACACTTAACTTATTTGAAAATGTTGACCTAGTGTGGTTATTGTTTTAAATCTTTTTAACTTGATTAATTCTTGCAAATTAAACTGTGATTCTAAAACTAAACTATAGGATCAATAGAAGGGCCATGCACACCCTAATCAGACCAATAATCCATGATTGGAAAGTAGGGATGAGGCAATTGAGAGTTTTCAATTCCTTAAACGTTTGATGAAATGCATTGGAGCGAAAGAGTAATGAAATATTAAGGTGGTTTAGGGCTGCAATGGACTTAGTTCGTAAGTGTTAAAGAAGCTAATTTCAACTATCTGGGCTTGTTGTTGTGCTAAAATATGGCCCTTCAAAAACTGTACGAAAAAAAACACACATACAAAGAGCACAAATAAGGTAAACTAAACTACCCTAAATTATGCAATCCCTCAAAACACGCCCTGAAAATAAAGCCCATTTGTTTCATGTATATTTAACTTAAACAGCTCAATTCCTAAAAAAAATGCCAACATTTTGCAGCAAAATCAATTTAACTGAAAACACTCTGCTAATCCCTACGTTTTAACTAATTTCTATCTGATTGTTGACTGCTTGCTGTAACTGAATTTGTAATTCTGTCTGAAAACCCAAAAGACTTGGAAGTCACATTTTGCTTGTTTGCAATAAATGCTATAAAGAGAACAATTCTATGACTGGAGAAAATTGTACTATGATATCTTTCTTTTCCAGGTATCAGCTTTTTGTAATGATAGCAATCATAACCTAGAGGCTCCCAACCTGCAGAACAGAATGTGCAACTTGTACAGTACTTGGGAAGTCATCAAGAATTCTACTGATATTAGCTCAACTTCACCAAGACCTAATGGGCAAATCTCAACCCCTACATTCACGTTGCTGCAGTATAAGACTCAGATAATCACAGTAGCAATAGACATATCTGGAAGCATGAAATCTGTAAGTTTATTTTTATAATTGGACTCAGATTAATGGAAAGGCCTCACATGACCTAGACCAAGTCAGCATTTTTTAATGAAGTGGCTTGTTGTTTTTTTTTATTATCATATTTAATTATAACTGTGTTTCCATGAGCACAATTAAATTGTTCGTCAGTGCAAAAAAAAACATATATAAATGTACATACACATTTCCCATCTTTTATCCAATGTTGCAGAAAAATGACTGTTATTTCTGCCAGTAATCCAGTGTGTTCTAAACTTCCTCTGTGAGATGCCATTAAATGCCACACTAAAATCCCAATGCAGTATTGTTATTATAGCCTACTGGCCTACAGAACATCTCCCCCTGTCCTCATCTCCATAGCATAAGTGGTCTATAGTTCAACAGGGGAAAAACTCAGGCAGGGCTGACAACACTGCTTGAGATTTCAGTGCAGCAGAAGCAGAGTTGTTAGCCAAAAAAGTTATGAGCTCATTGGATTTCTGACAAAATCAACAGGCTTGCAGTACCGGCAGCATTTTTAAAAGACATGCTAACGGGAAATTGGTGCAAAAATGTGCCAATACATTTTTTGTGTTGCACAGACATACTTCAATAAATCATCGTTTAAAGTATACCTAAAGCTGTATTTGATATCTTTTTTGGATAGAGTCAGGAATGGTTAAAACCTCTGTCATATTTTTATCAATGTCTGTATCCCTGCTGGATGTAATCGCCCTCTCAATTTTTAGGAAAACCACTGTTAGAGGATGGTTAGATGACCAAAAAAGATGGTGATGTGAAATCCATAACTTTACAATTGTTTGGTCTGAACTGACCAGTTCTAGACACCCCATGAATAAAACAAAATTACAAAACGTTTTAAAAAGTGTACATGATAAAAAAACATACATAAATAATGCCATTGCAATTTTTAGTGGCATAATCTTATCTTAATATTACCTTGTTTACACAAACTGTTTTTTCTCATGTGGCGTTAAAGAGGCATACACCTCTCCCAAAGTAAAACCCATATGTTCACTTTTATCTTTACTTTTCATTATATTACATACATCTTGCACTAATGTGATATAATTTTAATCAGCAGACTTTATTGACTATATTTTGTGGTAAATATATAGGAAATTTGCAAACTATGTAAACTTTGCATTGGGAAAAATTACAGGAAACTACTTTTTATTATTTTTTACTCCCAATACAAAACAAAAATATATGTATTTAAATTTGCTACCAAATTAAATGCCTATCTGTCCTGAAAAAAATAATCTATAATATGTCAGGGTGGGCTACATTTAAAATTCTGTCTAAGAAGAGATTTCCCCTCACTTTGGAGAGATTCTTCTCAATTCCTGTTGCATTTTAAGGAGAGAAAGAGAGGGGGAATCACACACAAAAAAACAGAGGTTCTAATCATGTCCTACTCTATCCAAAGCCTGATTTTATATAACCTTTAAGTTTTATGAATCATTCATTATTTATTTGGTCAAAGTGGCAGCAGACATCTTTGGTCATTACAAATGTGGACTTGATTATGATAAAAATGCTATGAATGAAGAATATTGTCCAAAATATATGGCTTGCTGTTATTAGTGATGAGCTAGGACTTGCTGTGAACTCAGTTCACCTAATTTCGCCCAAGCCTTTTCTCAAAACTGTGACAAACACCCCCCCCCTTCCTGATCATTAGCATGTTGATGAGGGGGGAGAAAGAAGCTTTAATGTTACTGTTTATTACTTTTAGTTTGATCGCATTGGCCGGATGTACCAAGCAGCAGAATTTTTCTTCATGCATGTGATCGAAACAGGATCTTATGCTGGAATTGTTGAATTTGCAAGTTATGCATTTGCCACATCAAAACTAGTCAAAATTAATAGTCATCAGGATCGAGAAACATTAATATCTAAAGTACCCTCTACAACACTGAATGAAGTTGCAAATATCTGTGTTGGCATTCAAAAAGCACTGAAGGTACTGTACTATCAAATTCTGCTTGAACAATTCAGTCTTTGTCAGGTATTGTGAATATATCATGTAATGTATAAACTCATATACCTTTGATTGGCTGCTCTCTTTGTTCTCCGACTATACTACTTGATGCCGGAAGAATAATAATTAAAGTACAACTAAAGGTTCCGGCATCAGAGCCCTAGAAAGTACCATTTCCAGTTACTATGTAATGAATATGCCTCATGAAGTAAATAAAAAAACTACCTGTACTTTCCCTCACTTAGCCAAATCTTCCTTCATTTTTAGCTCACACACTCCCCCTCCCAGACACTGCAGGTCACAGTATTCAGCAGCAGAAGCAGTGCTGCTAATTCAGAAAGACGTGGACTAGAGTAGGTGTGGCCAGGTGCTGATTGACAAGCTACAGGCTTGTTAATCAGCAGTGAGAATGTTGATAGCAAACCCCCCACAACATCTTCTCATTCCACTTCCTTCAGTGCAACCAGGCACAGCCTACATGAGAGTGGCAACTCTGCTTTGAATTCAGGAGCAGTGCAGCATTGTTGCCACACCATCACAGGAAGCTGCATTAGGTAGATGTTACTGGCAGAATCAACAGCTATTTGTGGGACTTTGCAGGGAGACTAGGAGAAAACTGTAAGTGTGGATGCACTTATAATTAAATGCTGCAGCACATACATTGCCTGTCCAGAAAAAGTCACACACTCTGATATTTCATTGGATCACCTTTAGCTTTGACTACAGCATGCATTCCAAGTGGCATCCTTTTAATAAGCTTATGCAAGGTCACAACATTTATTTCTGTCCAAAGTTGCATTGATATTCCACCAAGATCTTGTAGTGATGATGGGAGAGTCGGACCACAGCATAGAGTCTTCTTCGGTACATCCCAAAGATTCTCAATGGGGTTCAGGTCTGGACTCTGTGGTGGCCAATCCATGTGTGAAAATAAATGTCTCATGCTCTCTGAACCACAATTTGAGCTTAATGAATCTAGACCTATTGTCCAATGGGAGACTCTTACTTATTAGTTAAGCTAAACCCAGGTGGTGACTTTTTTTTGCACATGCAGGGTCTTTTTTTTATTAGGACATCATAGTTCTACTTAAGAGTTGAGTAGAGTATCCCTTCATTGTTCCATAAAATGTAAACTGCAGCTAAACTGTTGTAAATTGTAATCAAGTGAATAATATAAATGTAAGAATTGCATTTCAAATATAGAGATTAGATAGTTATCTTTTTCTTGTATCTTCATATATTCCAGAATCTAAACTCTAACTCTAATAGATATAAGCCTAAATCATACCTTATGTTGTAATATTTAGGTAAATAAACAGTTTAATGGGGCCACTGCCGGCACTGAAATAATACTGGTTACAGATAGTGAGTATAACATTTCCAAATGCATTGATGCCATATCAGACAGCGGTGCAGCAATTCATGTCATAGCACTTGGATCAGAAGCAGCACAGCAACTGGAAAACATTGCAGATATTACTGGTGAGATTTTTTAAAATCACTTCCTAGGCGCATATTTTGATAATATTATTACACTGTTCAATTAATTGCAGATGTTATATGCAGCATTTGTTTTAGGTAAATCATATTTGCAATATTTATTTGTAATAGTTATAATAAAAAGGTTTTCTACCTTCTGCCATCAGTGTGCAGTGAGAGGTTAAAGTACAGCTGTCATTGCAGAACTTTGTAGGATGTCATTGCTGACCTCATTTTCTAAAAATTATACTTCTCTGACTATCATGCTGATGCTTTGGCTTCAGTGCTTTCTTAGTCACGGACCCAGAGCAAGTATAAAGATAAGGAATTCTGATACTTTTCTGACACTCCATTACAGCATGCTTGTTTAATGTCTACATATTGCCATAATTGTGTCACCCAGACCTTCTACTTGAATGGAATCATAGACTTTTTAAACAGATATCTTTTGTGCCCAGCACATGCGCATTACAAGATATATGATTTCATATCACATTCACGGTCAGAGGTGTGTTAATTCAGGTAAGAAACCATAAAGATTTTCCATACAGTCAAAAACAATCTTTGATTTGCCCCCATTGACTGTTAGAAAATTAATTAAATAAGCGTTCCAATTTGACTTTTCTAACACATTTCGGCCCCGTTCACCCCAGGGCGGTTCGGTCGCGCAGATTTGCCAGCGCTGAACCGCCGACATGAGCAACCCCATACATTCCTATGGGGACCGTTCATTTGATCGTGCACCTCGGCGCAATCCGAATCGCATGCCGCCCAAAATGCTTCCTGAGCTATTTCTTTCGCACTGATCAGCACAAATTCCATATAGATTTAAATGGAAATGTGCTGATCAGCGTGTTTTGGGGTGTTTTTAATTGCGTTTCAGCGCTGAAACCAAATTAAAAACACCCAAAAACGACCTTTTCAAATTTGTGCGGAAACCGGGCTGAAACACATCCACCCCGGTGTGAATGGGGCCTTCTGCTGGTGTATGGGCAGCTTTTGTAGTGTCTCTGTTCCACTTATCTAATCTGCAACTGACAGCAACATTCTCTGCCTGACAGGAGACTGTATTCCTGGACAGCAGTGTCCCATCCTAGCAGAATTATTCCTAGGCCTCTTGTTGGAGTATTGCTTCTACTGCCTTCCCCAGGTTATATTGCTGGAAGCAGTGTTGGCAGTGATGAAGGAAAGATAATTATTGGCCGGTAGTGGCACTATAAGTCCTGGCTCAGGTAAAAGACTTGTCAGGAATGCTACTGTCACTATCTAATACTGGTTACCCTTTCAAGCAGCAAAAATGCACGTTCTGATGATAAAAGCTGAACTCCAGGCAAACTGCTAAAAACAAATGAAATACTTATATGGGAGCTAGATAAACTGCAAAATGCTTGTATTTCTGTCTATCCAGTTCTAAGATTTACATAACCATGGAACACATCGCATCCCTGCTAGCTGGACTGAAATCCATTTTTTTCTCTGCTGCAGTTATGTTACACCTACAGGTCTTGTCTCTTCCCTAGTGTATAATTAGACAGTGAATGGAGAAGCAAAAGACTGATGAGGTTATCTATCTGTCACTCTACTCTCTCCTCCGCGTTCTTTGCAGCAATGAGCTCAGATTCATAACAAACCAAGTCGAATCTGAACCCCCCTGAGTCCAGAAGGAGCTCCTTCTGAAAATGGAGGGAAGCTCCTTCTGTACTGCCCCATCAGCTGGCCCCATCAGCTGTGGGCACGGCATTCCTTGCCTGCAGCTGATGTAAGCAAAGGGGTGGAATGCAGTGACAGCATATACTTGATATGGCTACATGCCCATATTTGGTAAATTACATTTATATGTGGCCATGTAAGGTAAATTATGTCACTACAAGTTTCCTGCCTTCTGTTTACATGCAGCTGCAGGGCGGAGAATGCCCAGCCTGCAGCTAATTGTTTGACTCTTCCTTCTCCCGAGAGCTTAGTTTCTGAACTTGGTTCTTTCCTAACCTGAGCTCATCCCTAGTTCCTTGCTAGCACATGCACAAGCACTGCAGCATAGCTAATTGGCTCCTTGTGCTGCTACCCCTCTTCAGGTCTTAGCTGTACAGTAAATGCAAGAGGCTAATACCAAGAGTTAAAAGAGAACTATTTGGTAAGTGTTTTTCACCATAATTCTCTTTAGGGTCACGGGAGGAAATATACCAACCTCCTCCCGTGACCCAAAGCTCAGTATATTGTGAGCCACAGCTCGCGGTATACTGAGACTGACGCAGCTAGGGCGGATCCTGGCATTACTGTCGAGATCCACCCAGCTGCGTGAATGACAGCTGGCTCTGCCTATCTAGAGGCAGAGCTAGCTGTACACGCCCCCTCTGCCGTCCATTCCTCCAGTCAGCGCTGGAGGATCGGAGCGGGGGGAAATCCCTGCAGGGAGCCGTGACTTACAGTCACGGCTCTCTGCAGGAAGATGATGGAGAAGTATGTGTTCGCTCACTTCCCAGTCTATTGAGCCGACGTGTGACAGTTTCAATGTCACATGTCGGCTCGAACTATGAGGATGATTGATTTTCACTCACCTCACAGTTCTCCTTTAAACTGCTTGCATTTAATAAATACATTTAAAGAAAAACACCAGGCAGAAGTTAACAACCTTTGCAGTGGGGCTACCCCACACTGCAAGGGTTAAGTGCTCATTTTTGTATAAGGCCTAAAATAACAAAGGTATACTCACCCAAACCTCAGACCCTCCTGGCTGCTAGGCTGGTCCCTGCAGCCTCGCTCCTCCTCCGCCCAAGGGATAGAATGTACCTCGGCGGTAGCTTGCAGTGTGGGGATAGCCGCACTGCAAGGGTTACGTTTTTTTTCTGCCCGGAGTTCTTCTTTAATGATGTAATACTGAAAACAGAGCTGCATTTTTTGTATCTTCTATATCTCCCTAAAGTTCGGCTTTAACAAATGTGAGTGAGATTTGCCATATACAGGTGATCTAATTGCTTGGACTTGAACAATCAGATCCTCATACGATTACTCCAATGCCCAATACGCATATCCACTACTATGTGTACAACCATCTTCAGTTGATTTCATTGAAATAGTACTACACCAATCCAGCTTTCTTTTGTTGCATCAGATGAGATAAAAATCATCAATATGAAATTGCCCAGCTGGCTAGATCTGCTACAATAATGATTACAATATCCAGAGGGACATTTTGGGAGATTTTCACATGAGTGGGCCAAGTGAATCTGCATTTTTCACCAATCTCATGATTTGCATTAAGAGATCTACTGTTCCTTAATGTAACAGAAAACACTCCTCCTTTCATGAACTCTTATGGAACGTGATGATAGAGGTAAAAATGTATATTAAAGTGACATTAAACCCTCAGATTTTTTAATATAAACCAATACTGTAATGTGTACCTTACTGTAATCCATGGTAGTTTCCCTCCTCTTTGCTGCTCTTCCTTTTATATCCTCATGTCTTCTCATGCTGGACAGAACTTCCCTTTTCAGCTCAGGGCCTCTTCCTGTAGTGCTGGCTCAGATTACAAACCCATACAAACGGATACACAGACACCGTGTATCCATTCCTGAGACAAGGCAGTCTGCTGCAAAACATAAGTTATGCCCAGCATGAGAAGAGATACAGATTTAAAAGGAAGAGCAGTATAGAGAAGGGAAACTACCATGGATTACAGTAAGGCACACATTACAGTATTGGTTTATGTTAAAAAATCTGAGGGTTTAATGTCACTTTAAGTCAATCTAGTTTGCATATATGTGATCTGAAAATCATATTATTTTTCAGGAGGACAAAAACATTTTGCCACAGACAGACTTTCTAATGATCTAATTGAAGCTTTTAGTGCAATTACAAAGGGAGATGGAGATTTTACTCAGCAAGCTATTCTGGTAAGCCAGGAACTCTAATTTTAATTTAATATTGTTATATGTTCTTACAGTGAAAAAAAAAATCTCCATTTGCCGGACTGGACACAACCAGGTTACCTTGTCTGGCAAACGAATAAATCACCCTATTAATAACAGTTGATGAGTGTGTATTTTGCTATAACATTTTCCTATTATCATCATTATTATTATTAATAGTATTAATAATAATAAATATTATTATTATTTATTATTATTGATAATAATAATAATAATAGCAACAGCTTCACTGTTTTCAGTGGAGGGGAGTGAGGAATTATTCAAGTGATAGATACTCAACTGCACTGTCACACATTGACCAGCATTCCCCACTCACAACCACCTACCTGGACTCCTTGCCTCCACCCCCCACACCTTTCAACCCTTCTCTATACTGAAAATACTATAAACTATAGGAATAGAAATACCTCACCACTATACAGCCAATCTACATCAGTGATCTCCGTATGTTCCTCTCCCTCAATGTACATTTGATTTCTTTAAAGCTGAACTCTGGACACGAAAACTTGTATTTAAATATATTCTTCAGTGGCCACAAAGTTAAAAAATTCACTTTGTACACCCAAATCCTTTGTAAATCCCAATAATACGTTGTAAAAGTAGGGGTGCAGTAGAGAGCACAGATATGGGAGGCACCCAACAGGCCCCTCCGACTACATGCTGCCTGCATAGGAGGGGGCAGATACAAGACCAGTCCCCCTACACAAGTAGAGTGCAGCAGTCTGTATTACAGGAAGCTCCTGCACAAAGGCAAAGTTTAACTCTAGATTACGCACAGGAATATACAAAGCACACTAAGATTAAAGCAAAAATACCCATGCCTCTTGTATATATGTATGTATCCTGGAGTTTATCCTAAAGTCTTCCCAATTCTCCCTGTGCTTGAAACCTGCACACTTATTTATTTAGTTATTATTCCTATTGTTATTCTCTCCTCTTAGTTATGACTTGCTATCAATTGCCTGCCACACTGATAAAATGAAGGCTAATGCTGGGAGTCAGGAGATTCAGTTAGATTGTATATGATCTTGCTGCATGTAATTTTGCAGGGGGTGATTACTGTTCAATGTATTTTCACATTGCGTAAAATAATTTGGTGTTTTTAAGGACCTATGTTCCTACAGTCACTGTTTAGTCAATGTGCAGTAAATGCATATAAAGAACACAGTGATAGCCTTCAGAGAGTTTCCAGATACATGAGTGCAAACAAAACAAAAAGAAAAATGGAAAAAAAAACTGTATATTTTGGCTTTTCCATTTATAGCATTTTTATATCCTGCATATGTTCTCATGTTCCGTAAAGAACACACCCAGCGTGTCATTGAGATATACCTGTTTACAGTAGAAACAGCAAACAATGTCAAAGTGAATTTAATGGTGCATCTCCTCCCCTTGACACCTGAAAAGAAACATTTTTAGGAGTGTTGAATTTTATTGGTAGATACCGAAAGTTAATATGAAGGAATGCAAACAGCATGACCAACACTCGGCCAATAGTATAACTCTCCTCTGTAATAAATGATAATAAAAGTCTTTATGAACTCAGTCCAGTCACTTTTGCCCAAGAGAAGAACAAATTAACCTGCAAGTGATAGATACCGTGTGTATGAGCAATAATTATTTGTATGTACAGTTTTAAAAGGTTTTGTGACTTATTTCCTTTGTATTTTGTCAGCTGGATAGCACCAGTTTCCTTCTTAAGCAAGAAGAGTGTCTGAATAACACCGTTTTTATAGACAATACAGTTGGCACATCCACGTTTTTCCTGGTTACATGGCAAACTGCTGTTCCAACCATCAACTTAGAAGATCCGAAAGGAAATCTTTACATGGAAGCACAGTTCACTAATAATACCATTTCTAATTCATCTAGGTTACAAATCCCAGGAAAAGCAGAGGTAATCCATATTAAAATGATCACTGACACATTCTATATATCTGTAGCGCCCCCCTAATCCCCAGAGGCCTGGGGTGGACCCCCAAAGGGTCGGGAGGGCATTTCACTCTCAGGGGCAGATCCTTAGCCAGTGAAGGAACATATGATCAACAAATTTGGTAACAGTCACATTGAGGACTTTTTCAATGCTTTATTGTAGAACAGGCAAACTGGGAGAGAGGGTATAGAGCTTCAGACATCCATGGCAAAATAGTACACAGACTCATCAATCCCTTCAGACTTCTACAGCACATAAATATTAGTAGAACAGGCTGACACTGGGTAATAGAGCAACAGCTGAATAGGGATGTGCATGAGATCTTCCCTGGGAGAGACACCATACTTGTTCCTGAGGACCATATGAGCTCTTGGTACCTCCGGTAGTCATAAGGCTTCTCTGGTTTCTCCTCTTAGATAAGTCCAAACCCCGGCTGGGTCCACATGTGGCCTCCTCCAGGCTTGAGGCCTACTCAGCTTCTCCAGCACTGTACGTGCCACCCCCTCAGGCCAAGCCCAGGGGCAGACTACCCTAGAGAACATGGCAATCCCTGGGTATATATGCACCACTGGCATGAAACTCCTAGTGATTGGCTGGTGAGACATAGACACTCCTGATGTTCCCTTATTGGCTGCCCCACTCTGTAGCAGGGTCACACCCCACTCAGGCAGGTTCAGTCAACAGCAGAACACCTGGAAATAACCAGGTGTTCTGGATATAACCAGATAATATCCTACTACAAATTAGCCAGACTGTTTACAGTACAAGCAAAGCTACATTTCTAATAGCCACTCCACCGGAGGTGGCAGGGGCTACATGTCCATGCACTGTAATGGAAGACTAAGATAGTGCAGACTAATATTAGTCCTACAACTAGTTTACTATGTGTTAAAATATTTTCCAGATACATTACACAAATTATTGCAGCTCTGTATTTCTTAATAAATCATTAGACCCCATTCACATGTGGAGAGAACAGATGCGGCCACTGTGCCCAAGTTAATGGTAGGTTGACAGCAGACACGTCTGTCAGTGGAAGTCTGCAAGTAATCATTCATGGGACAATTACCTGTGCTACTGGATAGATGACTGTCCCTGGATGCAGACAGATTGCACCCAGGGACAATCATCTATCCTGAACCATCTATCTCGTTCCATGTATGATTACATGATGACAGCCACTGACAGATGTGGCTGCTGCTACCCTGCTATTCACTTGAACAGGCAAGGCAGCTGCATCTGTACAAACACACATAGGATTCCTGCTATAGGAATCTGTAGGTTCGTGCTGCAAGAATCCTTAGCAGCAGCATGTGAATGTAGCCTTAGATGCATCTTTTTGAATGCAATCGGTGTAAGAACCTCAATTTGAAGTTGCATTCAGCTCTTGAAGTCCTCTGTACAGCAGCACAGGCTAGAGGGAGAAGTAGGTCTGGAAGCCAATCAAATGTGCTGCCTATACGTTTTCAGTAGAAGGAGACAGCAGTGAGATGACCTGCTCAATTTGCTGCTGCACTTTCACTGTCCAATCAGAAGGCCTAGGTCACCACTGTAGAGAGGTCACCACTGTATTTGGTCCTTTGGCAGGTAAAACAGTTCCCTTATATGTTTTGTGTATGTGTATTTAGGTAACTTTAATAATGAATTACTTCCACCAGTGATTATGTGCATTCCCCTTGTATCTTATTCTAGAGTGGAATCTGGCATTATTCCCTTTGCAACAGCCTTAAGAGCCCTCAAGTAATAGGCATGGTTGTGACATCCAAAGCAGCAGATATAAATGTGCCTCCAGTAACTGCCAGTGTTCATATGAGCCAAGACACAGGCATTTACCCAAAACCAATGATTGTCTACGCATCAGTGCGCCAAGGTACAATGCCTGTAATTGGAGTGAAAGTAACAGCTACCATCGAATCTGAAAGTGGCAATTCTTTAAGCTTTGATCTTCTGGATAATGGTGCAGGTAACCTCCTTTATATAATATTTAAATATGTCCCATTATTAATATTATGCTCAAAAAAGGTGCATGGATTGTGTTCACTTTAAACAGCCAATCATGTGAAGAAGAAGCTCTCTTTTTTCAGATTCCAATACACATGACTGGAATTCAATTTACTTTCCTTCATACTTGTAAATCCTGCCTACAGTCTATAGCTGCCATGGCACCCTGATGTGCCTTGTGGCTTCCTTAGGGGTGCCTCAAAATGTTCACAAAAAAAGCCATGCCTCTGATGTGAAGAGGGCTTTGTTAAGGAGACTCTGATGTAAAGAGGGGAACCCCACTTTTCTGTGTATTTTTGCATGTAGTCCCCCTTAAAATCCATACCAGACCTCTATCTCATGCATATAACTCTTTTGTATGGATTTAAGAGGGACCACATATTTTACATAGTATGAGGTACAGTATACTGCAAATGATATTACGTATATTTTACAATATGCAGATTGTGCAATACTTAATACACTATGGGGCTTTTTTGATACCATGAACTGCTGTTTAATGCACAGTAATCTTGTTGTTGCATTTTTTATTTACTATAGCAAATTATGGTTTCTACAGCACTTTTATAACGTGTCTGCAACATGTTTGGAAGATCTTTTTTTCAACTTTAAATAACCTGTTTATATGTGGTAATTCTCATCTATCTACAGAGTTAGATTAGTAGCATGGTTAGCATTAGTTGATGGTTATGCTATTGTACTGACTGTGTTGGTGCTTGTTCCAGGTCTGTGAAACCAGACACAGCTAGGCAAACAGAAGAAAGCTAGTCATGGCTGCCCCCACATTTCTCACATGACACGTGTACTAGAGATGTGCGATTTGTTTTGTTCCAAATTGAAATTTGGATTTTTTGCATATTTGGAAATTCAGATGCATCCAAATTTCCTAATGACAGAAATAACTAATCCAAACAAATCCAAATGTTTTTGATAATGAAATTCTGATGCATCCGAAATGTTTCCAGAATGTCATTCAGAATGGAACAAAGGAGTGGAGAGCTGTTCTCCGAATTCTCTCCCAGGTCCACTTCTTTGCTGATTGACATCATGCAGCGGGTGGAGCAATAGCCAGCCTGCTACCGTATTTCATCTTAAAATAGCCATTAGCAGGATGGCTATTGCTCCTGCCGAGGAGTGGACCTGAGAGAGAAAGTTCTCTCTCTGGTCCACTCCTCTGTGATTGACATCAGGAAGGGGGCGCGTGCAATAGCCAGCCTGCAATTGGCTGTTTCAATTTGAAATAGCCATTCGCAGGGCTTTGTTTATTTCTTGCCAACTGCCCGATGTAAAGATTTTGTCAGGCGGGGAGTATTTTTTTTCATGTTTGGGAGACAATTTACATAGCTGGACGAGGTGATCGATGCTGGATTGACATCCTGGGACTTTTTTTTGTTTTTAATAAAGGAATTGTCAAAAACCTGTGTTGTGTTTTTTTCAAATTACTTTTTCATGGTGTTGTGTGTTTATTTACATTTTGAATGTTTTATTGATGAATGAGTACGGGTAACAACTACCCCTTACTCATTCACAAGGGGGGGATTCCTATGAGGCCCCCTGCACGCAGACCCCCACAACCACTGAGCCAGGGTTGTGGGTAGGAGGCCCTTGAGGTTCCCTCCTAGCAACACACCCTCCCCATGTCAAGAGCATGTGGCCTGGTATGGTGCAGGAGGGGGGGGCACATGCTCCTCCCCGCTCCCTTTCCTACTCTGCCAGGCTGCTGCTCAGATCAAAGGCATGGTAGGGAATTTTTAGGGGGACCCCACATATTTTTATTTTTTTTGGACCCCAGATGGTATGATTTGCTGCAGGGAACCGCATGCTGTTTTTTAATTGTGTTTCTGTGGACTGTCAAAAGTTACAAAGAAAAAAGTAAACATTTAATGTCACTTTTCTGCAACATAATTATTGTTTTTAAGTCATCCGAAATGAACAAAAGTGTCGGATTCGTCCGAATCCGAACGCTGAAAATGAAATAAGGAAACATCCGAAACTATTTTTTTGCCGGCGCAACATGTCTAACTTGTACTTTAAGGAAAATCAATTCAACTAATTATCAATACAATTGTCTTTCTGTCTTAGGTGCTGATACATTTAAGAATGATGGAGTCTACTCAAAATACTTTTTTGCTTTCACTGAAAATGGTAGACACAATGTAAAAATCCATGTTGTGGGGGCACAAACAGTAGGCAAAACAGCAGTGACCAGAAGTTCTGCATTTTATGTACCTGGCTATGTGGAAAATGGTATGACATTTTAGAGAACTGTGTAGTGATCATAAGTGTTTTTGCAATTTCTGACATCAGATACAACAAATGTGCACAAAAATAGTAGCAGCTGCAACTATGACCAAAACCCAAGAAACCAAACGACTGCTCTAAAACCCTTTGGTCCTACAAAGACTCCCTGTCTGAGCTATACAATATTTAAATGTACAAAAATGTGTATATTTATGGTTAAAGACTAAAATTCAATAAGTTTGATATCATGAAACCTATTGCCAGTCCAAATTTCCTTCTATTTACTGATGAAGTCATCTGCAGAAACATGGTCTTCTACATATCTCCATAGAAAGCATCCCTGACTTTCCTTTAGGGATACAAGCTTGCTATGCACATCTCAAGGAAAGTCAGGGATACTTTCTTTAATACAAAAACTATTTTTTTGTCAGTTTCTACCTTTCTTTTTCAAGCACACAGTTGTCCTTAGTTGCTGACACTTCATTTTGCCTTAAAATCAGCCAGATATTAGGTTCCCTAAAACAGTAAATGGCCATCTCTGACTGCTGCAGACAATTTGCCCAGAGCTCTCCTCTGTAGAAACCCTCACAGTTGAGCTAGAATGTTTTGAATAATAGCCTATTGTTGACCTTGATTGCAGTGACTGGGGATTCCGCATGAAACTCAAACATACATTTTTATAGGATATAACACATGTTTGTGCAAACAGAAGAGATGACAAAACACATTTAAACCTCATGCACACACGCGTCTGGGGATTCCTGCATCAAGAACCTGTGGATTCTTGTGACACGAATCCTAGGGGGGTCCATACAGATGTGGACCGCATCTGTCAGCATGTAATTGTACCTGGTATGATTACCTGCAGATCGGGAGAGATGATTGTCCTGGCATGTATAGAGCTTGCGTCCTGGGACAAACATCTGATAGAGAAGGCTTGTTGCACTCCTTACCGGAAAGACCCGTATTCGGGGAGGGATGCTTGGAATGACTGCGGATGGTGCCACAAGTTGCACATGATATGAGAGAAATGTCATCAGCACACCAAATTTTCACGAAGGATAATCAATCGTGGATTTATTGAAAACTCATGTCAAAAACACAAGCGCTTTCAGGGCCACATAGGGTCCCTTCATTAGGCATACCAATGGGAATATGCCTGATTTTTTGCCCTGAAAGCGCTTGTGTTTTTGACATGAGTTTTCAATAAATCCACGATTGATTATCCTTGAAGGAATTTGGTGTGCTGGTGACATTTCTCTCATATCTGGGACAAACATCTCTCCCGATCCGAACGTAACCACACCATGTATGATTACATGCGGATAGGCATCGATAGATGCTCAGGCTATCACCCTGTCATTAACTTAAATTGGAACAGCGGTCACATCTGTACAGACACACCTGGGATTCCTGCCACAAAAATCCGCAAGGTTCTTGCCTCAAGAATCCCAAGCTGCTCGTGTCCATGAAGCCTTAGAGGTTGGAATGTTCTCTAATGCTTGTCCACTGTCTGATGTCTGTGGGTACCTATAGTAAACACAATATTCAGTAGTTTTTATTTAAATAAGGCACTAATACATCACTGTATATATTTCTAAAAATGAAGGTACATAGCTGCTGTGTAAGCTGATTATCAGTATCAGAATTCCTTAAGGTGCTGTCGCAGATTAATTTATTTTAAACCACACGTTGCTCATGATGCTCAGTTTTAACAATTCTTTTTCCAGGAACAATTCATCTAAATGCACCAAGACCAGCTGTTAATGAAGACAGTCTTCAGATTTTGGTGGAACACATTAGTAGAACAGCTTCAGGGGGCTCTTTCAGAGTAAATAATGTGCCAACCAGTCCACAAAGTATTGCTTATAAACCAGAAAAAATACATGACTTGGAAGCAGAGGCACAAGGAAACATAATAGTTCTCACTTGGACAGCAACTGGCGAGGACCTTGACAAAGGCAGAGGTACCTTTTTCTGCTGTATGATTTTAAATGACTGATATTAATGGTTCCTTTGTTTTATACTAGTTATGATAGCACAATTCATATTACAAATTATACTAAAATGCTATGTATTATGAGTAAAATTGTAATCAGTATACAGAAATGTTTCTCTTGTCACCTGAACCCAACTTTAAATGTGACGATCAGATGACAAATTCTAATGATGTAATAGATCATTAATTGACAGGTGAGAATTAGCACATATCAGTGATTGTAGGAAGAAGTTTGAAAGCCTTTGGTCAGTTTCCAATTATCCCTGCAGTTGTCAATACCTTAGAATTTGTTCAAATGAGCATCAATATTATAAGATTTTGCCATTTTGCAGTACCCATTTTTACCTTAAGATGTACGTAGCAAAGTGCGTATTTCTATGAGCTTTGTTAAAGGGGGCAGTCCTTGAACTGGTAGTTGTATTGTAAGGATAGCTCTACATGACCTTATATCTGTGGGGAATCGGATCCAACCAATTCTAACACTGCTTGTGATTGCCAGAAAGCATATGGGATTAACATCAATACCTTACATTTTTTAATAGGGGTTTTGTTTTGTGTGGCCAGTATTATTGCCTTTTGTTCTTCATGGGAATTATGTAAAGCTAAAAATAGATGGTGCCATGCTGCACACACTGTTTTACAGGTTTTATGCTGAGACATAAACTAGGCCAAAGAGTAGCAACCTACAGTCTAGTTTTATCGCATCCTATTTTTGTGTTAGTATGCTTGTAAATGACTCATTATTGATGTTTCAGTTTTAAGATATGAGCTGCGATCAAACACCAATCCAAGACACCTCCGAGACAACTTTCAAAGCTCAACTGAAGAAAATATCTCCAGTCATCTTCCACAAGAGGCAGGATCTGTGGAAAAATTTATATTTGTACCAAGAGATACTGTCACAGAGACCAGAACTGTCCTTTATTTTGCATTACGTGCAATTGATAAAGATAACAACAAATCAGATATTTCTAATATAGCACAAGCAGCAATTGTCACTGCTACAACAACCCCGCCTACAGATACAACAACACAGTATACAGGTATAACCCAGTCCACAGATACAACAACCCGGTCCACAGATACAACCACCCTTTCCACAGATACAACAACCCAACCTACAGATACAGCAACACAGTATACAGATATAACCCAGTCCACAGATACAACAACCCGGTCCACAGATACCACAACCTTGTCTACAGATACCACAACACTGTCTACAGATACCACAACCATGTCTACAGATACCACAACACTGTCTACAGATACAACAACACTGTCTACAGATACAACAACACTGTCCACAGATACAACAACACTGTCTACAGATACAACAACACGGTCTACAGATACAACAACCCTGTCCACAGATACAACACTGTCTACAGATACCACAACACTGTCAGATACAACAACCCTGTCTACAGATACCACAACACTGTCCACAGATACAACAACACTGTCTGCAGATACCACAACACGGTCTACAGATACCACAACCCTGTCCACAGACACAACACTGTCTACAGATACAACAACACGGTCTACAGATACAACAACCCTGTCTACAGATACAACAACACGGTCTACAGACACAACAACCCTGTCTACAGATACAACAACACTGTCTACATATACAACAACACTGTCCACAGATACAACACTGTCTACAGATACAACAACACGGTCTACAGATACAACAACACGGTCTACAGACACAACAACCCTGTCTACAGATACAACAACACTGTCTACAGATACAACACCTCCGTTTACAGGTACAGCAACACTGTCTACAGATAAAACGGCACAGTCCACAGATACCACAACACTGTCCACAGATACCACAACACTGTCTACAGATATCACAACACGTTCTACAGATACAACAACCCCGTCTACAGATACAACAACCCTGTCTACAGATACCACAACCCTGTCCACAGATACAACAACACTTTCTACAGATACAACAACACTGTCTACAGATACAACAACACGATTTACAGATACAACAACCCTGTCTACAGATACCACAACACTGTCCACAGATACCACAACACTGTCTACAGATACAACAACACGATTTACAGATACAACAACCCCGTCTACAGATACAACAACACTGTCTACAGATACAACAACACGGGCTACAGACACAACAACCCTGTCTACAGATACCACAACCCTGTCCACAGATACAACAACACTGTCTACAGATACAACAACACTGTCCACAGATACAACAACACTGTCTACAGATACAACAACACGGTCTACAGATACAACAACACCCTCTACAGATACAACAACCCTGTCTACAGATACCACAACCCTGTCCACAGATACAACAACACTTTCTACAGATACAACAACACTGTCTACAGATACAACAACATATTCTACAGATACAACAACACTGTCTACAGATACAACAACACATTCTACAGATACAACAACACTGTCTACAGATGCAACAACCCTGTCTACAGATACAACAACACTGTCTACAGATACAACAACCCTGTCTACAGATACAACAACACGGTCTACAGATACAACAACACGGTCTATAGATACAACAACACGGTCTATAGACACAACAACACGGTCTACAGATACAACAACACGGTCTACAGATACAACAACACGGTCTACAGACACAACAACCCTGTCTACAGATACAACAACACTGTCTACAGATACAACAACACTGTCTACAGATACAACAACACGGTCTACTGACACAACAACCCTGTCTACAGATACAACAACTCAGTTTACAGGTACAGCAACACAGTCTACAGATAAAACGACACAGTCCACAGATACCACAACACTGTCTACAGATACAACAACACGTTCTACAGATACAACAACCCAGTCTACAGATACAACAGCCCTGTCTATAGATACAACAACACTTTCTACAGCTACAACAACACTGTCTACAGATACAACAGCTCTGTCTATAGATACAACAACACTTTCTACAGATACAGCAACCCAGTCTACACATACAACAACATTGTCTACAGATACAACAACACTGTCTACAGATACAACAACACAGTCTACAATTACAACACAGTCTACAGATACAACAACACTGTCCACAGATTCAACCCAGTATACAGATACAACAACACAGTCTACAAGCGGTGTATCAGGTGAGAACACTACACCATATGAAACAACAACTGATTTTCCCTCAACACGTGGCAGAACTGACGATACGCCGCTAACACCTACTTCTAATAGCACTACTCCACCTTATAGCAAAAATAGCACACAAACTATTAATCCAATAACAACTACAGGCACACCTACTGGGGAAATCGATGTAACTGTTGTGATTGTGGTGGTATGTGTTGCAGCAGTTTTGATCTTTATTATTATATGTGTTACTGTGTACTGTATAACAAATTGCAAACGACAATTATATTTCACAGTTTAAAACTCAAGAGTTACAAAAATAAATAAATGATGTTAACCACCTAAAAAAAAACGGCCGGCCGAGAGGTCTCTAGATCTGAGCGGGCGTCTTTAGACGTCCGCTCAGACACGCGCTCGAGCAGGAAATGGCCGGTATTTGAAAAACAGGCAGCGATGCCTGTTACCATACAAGCGATCCGCCGGCTGTAGAGCCGGCGGATCGCGTGTATGGTGTGCCGATCGGTCCACCCCCCCGCAGTCCCCTCCGCCGTTGTCCCGCTGATCCCGGGCTCCGCTGTACCCGGTGCGAGCCCGGGATCAGCACAGCGCCTGTGTTACACGAGCTCCCTCCGGTCCCCTCTCCTCTGCAAGAATGCGGAAGTGTTGTACATCACTTCTGCATTCTTGTGTCACTCTCCAGCTTCAGAAGCTGGAAAGAAGCTGATGGAGCAGATCTGTGCTTCATCAGCTTCTTTTGGGGGGTCCTAGGTGACATTAGGGGTCTTGGAGACCCCTGATGTCTCCATAAAGAGGACCTGTCACATATTTTGCTATCACATAGGGGAGTTTAATAAGCCCCCGTATGTGATAGGAATAAAGTTTAGTGAAAAAAGGAAAAAAAAATGTAAGCCCCCCCCACAAATTTTAAGTTACACATAAAAAAGAATAAAAAAACAAAAAAATATGTTTAAGTCCCCACCCATACATACACGCATGCAAACATGCGTCGGGGGCGCATACGTGCGAAAAAGACGATATGGCCAATTTTGGGTATGGTAGTTTTCTGCGATTTTGCGGGTGCGCGCAATTTTAAAGCTTGACATGTTTTGTGTCTATTTACCCGACATGACCCGATCTTTTATATTTTACCAAAAAACTGGGTAATAAAAAATGTTTCCTAAGATAATGTTAAAAAAAACTTGTTTTTTTTCAAAATTTTCTGTAATTTCTCCTTATTATAGTAAAAAATAAAACCCGTAGTGGTGTTTAAATACCACCAAAAGAAAGCTCTATCAGTCCCCAAAAAATGGTATAAAATTAATTTCAGTACAGCGTTGCATGATGGAATAAACGTCAGTCAAAGTACCGCAGCGCTGAATACTGAAAAATGGCCTGGCCAGGAAGGGGGTCTAAACACCTGGTCTTGAAGTGGTTAAAGCTCAAATTCAATTTTTTTTAGTTTTAAACAGAATGTATAACAGTTACAATTTCCATCAGCTTTTTTTTTTCTGTCTGGGATACTTACCCTCTTCCTCTCCCAGTGTCACTACACAAGAAATGAGGGGTACCAAATGTGTCACAAAGGCCGGGAAAACTAAGGCCTCGTTTACATGGGCATATGCCAGTGAGAATCTTGCCGGCAGAGCTACAGAGCTAATGCTGCATGCATACAGTGTGTGCGAACAGCCGTGGCCTGCAGCAACTACTCTGTACTAATCAATGGACGATGAGTCCGCTGTTCAGATGTAATCGCTCATCCGAGCAGCAGGGATCTCAAGTCTCCCTGATGTTCAGGGAGTCTCCCTCTATTGGATAGCGGCTCCCTGACGTCCGCAAGAGAGGCATTTTCTCCCTGAAAGTAAACCTTTCCGGTAAGATATCAGTGGGTAAGGTTTCAGAGTGAGGCTTGCCTCCTGGAGGAAGGTCATGTGATCTCTAGAGTAGCCTCAGAACGAAGCTTGCCTCCTGGAGGAAGGTCATGTGATCTCTAGAGTAGCCTCAGAACGAAGCTTGCCTCCTGGAGGAAGGTCATGTGATCTCTAGAGGAGCCTCAGAACGAGGCTTGGCTCTCAGAAGGAAGAAGCTACTTGCTGCACTGAGCACTTGATTTTATGGTATTAATCAATATCATTGTATTATTGGTATATGGATTTTAGTTTACTGTGTTTGTGTGTGTGTGTGTGTGTGTGTATGTATATATATATCATTATTATTATTATTTCTTTTATATTCTGATGGCGGCCGCTGTAAAAAAAAAAACAGAAAGGGCACCTCCCTGAAATGAGACGGGAACCTCCCTGAAATAAGGTTTTGCAGGTTGGGATGTCTGGAGCAGTTACATATGAATAGAGCCACTGATTGACCTTGGATGCAGACATGTTGAGTGTACAGATAGTGTTTCTGGCTGCATACAAACTGCCTGCAGCTAATTGTCCAGTATGCAGCCATAGCACAGAATGCAGGTGTATCCAGATGCATAATTTAGCCGCCTCTGAATGCAGCAAACTATCTGCTCCAGATCACCCGTCTGAATGTGAGCTTAGAGAGCAATAAAAACTTGACAGATCTTTTAAACCAGGGATCACCTTTTACTTACCAAGTGCCATTTTTGCCACCATAAGACAATCGGGTGCCAATGAACAACAGCACACCATAGTGTTAGTTACATTTTTATTTTTGCACTCATAGTTGTGCTGCTAATAGTAAGTTAAATTCACTAATTATTTTATTGTGTTTACCCTGCCATTAGCAGCACAACTATAAGTGAAAAAATGATAACTGGTGTCCACACCAAACATATTCATATTTACATGTACTGAAAAATAAACCGGACGTAAAGTCTTATAGTGTGATCCCTGTGTCTTTATTTCATGGCTCAGTTGTGCTATGTCTGGCCTAAAGGATGTTGCTTTCAGCTGACCTCAGACCAGCACCAATATACAGCAGACCACAGACCAGAACCAATACACAGCATAGCTCAGAACAGAGCCAGAGAGAGCCAGGCACACAAGGTGTGTGGGTGAATTCAAAAGATGCTCAAAGGCACAGAATATCCAGGAAGAGATTCTGTTGAGGCAAACCGTAAGGTCCTGAGACACTGAACAGGATAACCTGTGAAGGGTGAGCTGATATGTACGCTGAAGAAAGCTATTTATGTTGGATTTCCTTTTTCTGCCTTTTGGAATTAATAAAAGGCTGTCCTTTGTTCTGTGAAAACGGCTTCATGACTCGTCCTTAAGCGCTCGCCATTTGTGCTAACCTCCCCAACATCACACAATGCACTGCAGTTCATCAGACCAGCAACAATACATGGCAGCACCAATCTATACAATTTAGCCAGCATATTAGTCCCAAACACTGTAGAATTGATAACAGTTTGTAATGGCTCATGCTTTAAAAAAAAACAGTAGCAGCAGTCTCCCCTACCTAGACTTATGTATTATGCACACACACAGTTCCCCACAAATGCACAGCAGAATCTTGATCCAAAAACAGCATTGATTTTACTCTTGTACTAAATATTAGGGCAGGAATAAAATCAAAGCTATTTGTGGATCACGATTCTGTTGTGCATTTGTGGGGAACTGTGTGTGTGTGTGTGCAAGTATTAAGGCTAACGTCAAGTAGGTGAGTGGAATGCGGACACTAAAACTCATCAACATGGGCGAAATTTACCTCCATATATTTTCCATATATTCCTGTCAGGCAGGGGCAGTAGAATGCTCTGGTTAGGTAGGTGGCCGGTAAAATCCACGTGTCGGGCTGGGAACAGAATCTGCATGTCGGGCAGCTGCACGTCCACACTGGCAAATCAGGGAGCCGCCAGGCTGGAGCACGGGCAGACCTAGTTGAGGGCCTCCTATGGCCTTCAGCTACGTCAGAGGTGGGTGGGCCAGGCTTGTAATTGACAGCCGGCTCAAGGAAGCTGCCAGTTACAAGCCATAGAAAGTAAGTTTACGTGCCAGCAGATATGTGATCACGTGCCAGGCAGGGTACGCGCAGGGCCGGCCTTTAGGCACCCTGTGTGAGAAAGCTTTACAGCGCCCCTCAATGACCACACCCCTCAGTAACTTCACCCCTCAGTAACCACACCCATGTTTCCAATATCCGCACCATTTAAAGACCATTTAAAGACTCCCACTTTGTTAAGCCCCAAAGAAACATATTAAAAAGTATGATAAAAATAAAACTTTTATTCAAAGGTATTAAACTTGTAGGCACAATAAAGGTATTCTTATTAAATAAAACAGTAGGCAAACAAGTGGTAAACAATAAATGTCAAACTAAAATAGAGTATATAAAAATATAGTGTCAGGATTTCACGCAGACCCTTTTTTTTCAAGTAAGTGCATCTAGAAAAGTAAAAATAAAAAACAGAACACAAAACCTAGACTTCATGTTAAATTAACAAATTACTATTTTCCTGAATATACAAAAACTGTATTCAGGAACATAATAATCTGTTTGAGAAAGTGAGGCGGCCATGTTGGCCACCAGTGCATTCTGCGAATGCATGCCACCATCTTGGAGGCGGGGAGCATGACGTCATATGACGCCATGCATGCGTGACGTCATATGCCAATATAGGT